ACCTCCCATGGGGAGCATGGAGAATGGGTTTAGCAAGCTCAGCAGGTCTGGATGGCCAGTATGGTTACAAGAGTCCCAGGATCCTTCCTGCTTGATAAGATAAGCTTTTAATCTGTCACAGTGGTTAACATCACTGGCCTGCCAGATTGCCTTTGCCATTCTAGGTTATGATGTGCTTCAGAGAAGCTTTAGATGCCTTCACTTTACAACAAAACAGGGCTTGGTGACTGTGGTACTGCACACGCCTGTGGTACTGCACACGCCTGCAAGATCAGCTAGAAGATGGAGGTTTAGAACTTCAAGGTCACCTTGAGACCCTTTCTCAAAAAACCTAAACAAACAGGAAGATTAAATGCATCCTGACTATCCCTAATACAGAAATCTAGAGTGCATTTGAAACTTAGTGGAAAATTCCAAGTCTGACTTTATGTGACAGGTTGTTTAAACCTTGTTGTGTGTATATTTTTATTTATTTATTTATTTATTTGCTTTTTTTTTCCCTCCCCCGAGACAAGATTTCTCTGTATTGTTTTGGAGGCTGTCCTGGAACTTGCTCTGTAAACCTCAAACTCACAGAGATCCATCTGCCTCTGCCTCTCGAGTGCTGGGATTAAAGGCATGCGCCACCAATGCCCAGTGTGTGTGTATTTTTTAAAATGTATTATATTTCCTACAGACTAGTTGATAAGGCATATTTATTTTACCCTTCTTTTTTTTTTTAAAGATTTATTTATTTATCACATATACAATGTTCTGCCTACATGCCAGAAGAGGGCACCAGATTGAATTGTAGATGGTTGTGAGCCACCATATGGTTGCTGGGAATTGAACTCAGGACCCCTGGAAGAGCAGTCAGTGCTCTTAACCTCTGAGCCATCTCTCCAGCCCAAGGCATATTTATTTTAAACATACATGCATTTCATGTCTAGATATGGGTCCTGTCTGCAAGGCATTCCATTCATATTTGGAGATATTCCAAAAATCACACTAGAAAACCACAATTGTTTCAGATAATATGTAGAAACTGTGGGGAGATGTATGAAATTAAGTTTGCCTTGTTGGAAGTCCATTTCACAATGTAAAGTTCATAGAAAAGCACAGAAGAACTGGAGAAGAAAGAATGAACATTTCTAATGACAAGACCCTTGAGTGCAGACTGGGTGCCCTTCTCAGTTAACCCACTGCTGGGTTGTTGTGGGGTCTGTCCCAGTTCTTGAATAGGAAACTTACGCAGTTCAGCTGAGGCTTGTGGGCTTTATAGACACTGTGCTTGCTTTGAGAGACATTTATTACAGAAGTCTAAAGTGGGGGACTATGATGGCTTCCTGGGTAAAAGCAAGGAACTGAGTTTGGATCCCCAGAACCCATATTTTTTAAAAAAGCAAAACCTGATTTTGCCGATAGAGTGGGATGGACGCAGGAGGAGTGTAGGGCTTGCTGTGAAGCTAGCCCAGATGAGAAATGCCGAGCTGAGCTCAGGTCTCATGAGAGACCCTCTCAAGGCAGTGAAAGGAGATTGTGCTAGTGCAATGTGAAAACATTCTTCTCCGGCCTCTGAATGCAAACACTTGAATCACGTAGCACTCAGGGTCACAGAGAAACCCAGACAGTTGGAATGCCACTCTTGTTTTCCAAGTAAGACAGAATATTTTAATTCAGGCAAGATTTAGAAATAAATGTAAAAAATTTTAATAGAGTCAACCATACGGTTTCTGTTTTGGTTTAGAGGATTTCTGTGTATTTGCTATTTTTAAATAATTGTTTAAAATAATTTGATCCAGGTAATAGATTAGCCTGTACTTCCAAATTAAACCATATAGTATAGTAATTGAGTTAGACAGAGTTGAAATCACAGTTTACAAGCCATATTAGGACATTGCTTGCAAGAGAATTGCTCAGGCTTTTATGCATTGTCTTGCATAAGTTAAAACAGGCAGTTTTAATATCTAAAAGACAGAAATAATTCTTAAGTAGGGCATGAAAGGAAAAAAAAACCTCAAGCCTTATAAAGTGGTTCTGTGCATGCCTTTAATCCCAACACTGAGGAGGCAGAGGCAGGAGGATCTCTTCTGTGTTCCAGGACAGCCAGGGCTACATAGAAAGAGACCTTGTCTCTAAAAATCAAAGCCAAAAATCAACCAACCAACCAAACAGAAAACCAAAGTTCTTGTTAACTTCTGGAACAAGGATGTGACAGCAAGATAAGCTTGACTCTTATTTTAATGTGGGCTGTCTGTGTAAGCAGGCTGGTACCCCACACACCCACCTTTAACTGAGCCATTTGTGAAATGACCAGAGAGGCGTGCTCAGCACATCCCTGCAGTAAGGACCTGATGTGGAAGAAGTGGCCTTTAGAATCACTTTCCAATATGATTAAAGCACAGTGCCATTTGCATAGACTCAGGGATCTTGGGTGATTGTGGTTGTCCTAGATAGAGATCTTACTCCTTCAACCCAATGCTATGAGAAATCGAAAATCGTTATGTCGGTTTCATGTCACACCTCCTGAGCCATCTTTTCTGTCCTCACAGAAAATAAGCAAGTTTGGGGCAAGAGCCTCTTTTGTGCCATCTGGACAGGGTCCAAGTGAAATTGCATGTCGCACAGAGCCCTGGCCACTTAACCAGCCCTGAATGGATGCCCAGAGAGGGCCCTGGGCTGGAGGGTGCTCGGCTGATCTGTGAACATTGTCATTCAGGTCTGGTTTCTGGTAATTAGGCACTCCTGGCTGGGCTCGGCTGTCAGTGAGCCTTTATGACAAATTGCAAAATCTGCACAACCATCTGAGAGATGGACAAGTAGGTCCCAATGACACTACAGGCGATATTGGCAGCGAGAAGTTTGAAAGGGGATGCTCACAGAGGCACTCCCCCAAACTGAATTCAGAAGCCCTTCTCTAAATGGTCTGGAAAAGGTACATTCAGTTACAGAGTTGGGATCTGAAAAGATTTTGACAGGCTGGAATGATGGGCTCAATTTAATAGGGCAAAATGGGAGTAGAAATAAATGGAAAGTTTTGTATTGGGGGCTTAAAAAATGCCAGCAGTTCTGAAAGGAGGGGGAACAGGGTGAGGGGTGTATCTGAGGAACAGTCTTTCACATGGTGCCTTACAACCATCTATAACTCCAGTCCTGGGGGATCTGACATGCTTGTCTGGCTTCAGTGGGCACCAGGCATGCATACGATGCACAGACATGTTGATAAAACACCACATACATAGCTGAGTGAGGGTGGCGCACACCTTTAATACCAGCACTTGAGAGGCAGGCAGATCTCTGTGAGTTCAATGCCAGCCTTGTCTACAAAGCAAGTTCCAGGATAGCCAGGGCTACACAGAGAAACCCTGTCTCAAACAAAACCAAAAACAACCCCCACCCCCCCAAATTAGCACCCATATACATAAAATAAAAAGTAATAAGCGTGGTGGTAGACAGCATCTGCAGAGTGGGTGTCTAGGTGGAGAGGGTGACATGCATGCTCAGCTTCACAGCGTGACCATTTCTAGTTCTGCATGCTCTTCTGAAAAGGAGGCAGGCAGGACAGTCAGAGGGTACAGGAGGACACAAAACCTCTCTTGAAAGGCATCTAGGCTGTGTGTGAAGTCCTATAAGAGCACCTGGAGGAGTCTAAAAGATGACAAAGTTGAGAGTAGGTAAGGAAGGCTTAGGATAAGAAGACGGTTTCAGGTGTGCATTGCGTCTGGAAAATCAGACACAGAATACAAGCTATGTCACAGTGCCAGGATCATTCAGGTACATTTTCTGCTTCTAACATGCCATGTTAATGCAGGCCTTGAAAGGTGATGCAGGGGCCAGGTGGTGCACACCTTTAGTCCAGCACTTGAAGGCAGAGACAAAGGCCACAAAATTCTGACTCTGGAACAGGTTGAAGTGACTCACTGGACCACTCCAGAAGGGTCCACGTTTTCAGAAATGGGTTTTCATTCTCAGAGTGTAGCTCTTCCCCATCACACTGTTTAAAATTACACAGGCTTTTTTTTTTTTTTTTTTTTTTTTTTTGCGTGTTTTCTCTGTGTATTCCTGCCTGTCCTGGAATTTGCTCTGTAGATAAGGCTGGTTTCAGAGATCCACCTGCCTCTGCCTCCAGAGTGCTGGGATTGAAGTTGTGTGCCACCATGTCCATCTATACTGGCATTTTCTTAAAAGATAAATTCAATTGTTGGTGGTAGACAAAATTTAAAGTTAAGTGATCTTTATCTTAATTTCCCTTAGTAAACATTTTTCTCAGATAGTGTGCTGTTTTTCTGTCAAGAATAAACTGAAAAAGCTCCAACTAAGTCAAAAAAGAAAAGAAATCAAGGTCTCTTATTCAGGCGGATCTGAAATTTCTGACCTCTTACCTCCACCTCCCAAGTGCTGGCATTACAAACGTGCAACATCATACTTGGTTTATATGGTCTAGGGAGCTAGCCCAGGGCTAGGCAAGCACTCCACCAGCCATCCGCAATTCGAAATTCTGTTTTTCTTTTAAGATTTATCTTTATTTGATGTTTGTGAGTGTTCTGCCTGCATGCATTTATGTATGTGCACTGCATGCGTGCAGTGTCCCTGAAGACCAGAAGAAGGCATCAGATCCCCTAGAACTGGGGTTTCAGAGGATTGTTAACTACCCTGAGGGTTCTAGAACTGAACCTGTGCAAGAGCAGCCACTGTTCTTAATCATTGAGCCATCTCTCCAGCCTCTTCAATTTAAAATTCTTGAATCGTGTTTCTATTCTTAGTTTCTTGGGCAGTGCTTCTCAACCTGTGGGTCTCTAGCACTTTGGGATTGCATATCAGCTATCATGCATACCAGATGTTTACATTATGATTCATAACAGGAGCAAAATTACAGCAACGATATTATGTTATGGTTGGTCAAAACATGAGGAACAGAATTAAAGGGTTGCAACATTAAGAAGGTGGAGAACCACTGTTTTAAGGACTTTGTTTACTTATCTTTAAGTACTCTCCTTATTATAAATTCTTCTTTCTTGCAGGTAGAAATGAATTGATAGCCAGATACATCAAACTCAGGACAGGGAAGACAAGGACCAGGAAGCAGGTACAGTACCCGCCTGCAAGGTTTGCATGTCAGCGAATGGCCCGGAGACATTGGGCTGCCTTGGCTGCTGTGCTTCAGCTCTAGGAGCCCCAGGCCCAGTGCCCTGTAAGGAGTCCACCCTGTAGGTGTCCTGGAGTGTTTTTTTTCACTTTTCATTTCTGTGGCCTGAGCATGCACTGGTGTGCTGTGATACACATGTGGCACAGTTCACTGCCAAACCAGTATCTGAACCTCTCCTTGCTCGGGAGTTTTCAGTCCTGCCATTCCCCCCACCCCCACCTCCCTAACATCTGCCAGAGTTGCAGAAGGCTGCAGGTGCACTTACCCTGGCAAGCCAAGAGATTTGGAGGTCCAGTGCATTTTAACATCCTGAAACGATTACATAATTGTCATGCTTTCAATGAAGTCACGCCAGTGGCCTTTCGCAAAGCCTTAAATACGATACTGAGCGATACACTTCCAGGGCACTGTGGCTTCTTTAGCAATGGCCTTTTGTCAGCCTCTGCTACTGTAACTATAAAGCAGTTACAATTTTTAGATGCTGCAGAACAGGAGTGGGTATTCTCTTCTGACTCTGGCCAGGTCTCTACCTTCCCTGGTTCTTTTGAACACAAAGCAGTCCATATTTCTGATGTGATCAAGTTCACAATTGGAAAGGGTGGGAGATCAGTCTCTGGAATCAGAAAAAGAAACAAATGACCCATGTAATGGGTGGGCCATTGATGGAAAACATTTTTTTTATGTTAACCTATATGGAATGACTTGGAACAGAGTTCAGCAGCTGCAGCTAACTAGATGTGGTAGCATATACCTCTAATCCCAGCTACTTGGGAGTCTGAGGCTTTAGGCTCTTTTGAACCCAGGAGTTCAAGACCACTCGGGCAATACTGTGAGAGACCTCATCTCAAAATAGTTAAAGGGAGATAAGGGGATAGCTGAGGCCTGAATGCAGCCTACTCTCCTGTGTCTCTTTAAGGCTGAGCAGCAGTAGCCCTGTCCCTTCTCTCCTCAGCTCCCCTTTCTGGAGTGTGGATCAGGGGGCTGGGCTGTCCCCCAGAAATGCTGCCTGTGCTGGCCCCGTGCTGAGTAGGCAGAAAGGGGCGGGCCTCCTGCCAGCACAGAGGCAGGCAGGCCCTGTCTGCTGGGGATGCACCCAGCCATGGCCCTCCTTGAGTCAGGGCCTCAGACAAGAGTCTGGGTGAAAATGAGTATCAGCAGGAGCCAGATGGAAGGGTGAAGAGGATGGGGAGCCCTGCTTCTCTGGAAACGGGAAGAAAGCGGAATTATTGAAACTCAAAAAAAAAAAAATACTTTAACCACCAAAAATCCTTGTTAATGCCGAGTCCTGTTGTCAGAGTCACTGGAGAGTTTGAAATGAGGTAACTGCCAGAAAGCCCAGGCCTTTGAACTTGTAATGGGAAGGTTCAGAATCTCCCAGTGCAGACAGCAGTGTTCAACTGGCTTTTGGCCAGTGAGCTCTGGTCACTTGCCTGGTGACCCCTTCACTTGGGGCATTTTAAAGTTTAATCAAGTCCCACTGAAACAGATGCTGGTTTGCCTGCCCAGTGTGTGTCAGAGGCCTACCTGGCCTTGGTTACACACACACACACACAGGGCACTGTCCTCAGAGTGCCTGTAGGCCGTTTTTGGCCACACCTCTCCAGTGTGTGGTTCAGAAAAGCTGAGTTGGTTTTTCAACCCAGATTTTTAACTGGCTGGCTGTATTCACACATTTCATTTTGTAATAATATGCAGATTCACTTGGCACCCAGTTGATTCCCAAAAGAGTAGAAGGATTAAAGAAATTTTAAGGAAGAAGAAGGAAAAAAAAAGCTCTGCTAACTGGGTCCCATTTGTCTTGGAGATCTAATTTATGTGTCAGTGTTATTTCAGCATTTGCCACAGAATCTACAGTCTTCCAGGGGATAAGAACCCCATCCCAGCCTCAGCTTTGATTGTGTAGGACAGGCCAATTTATGGACAGCCCGCTCTAAATTGAGAAAGGGTGGTTTTCCCTCCTGATACTGAGGCGTAAATATTTTCATATACCTGTATCCCTGTCCTTTTAATTTCATAAAAAAGCACCCCTCCTCTCCCCCTGCTCATGGCTCTCCAAATGAGGTCTACCCCAACACTCACCTGTGATCTCTTCAGGTGGGAACATGGGAAGTGAGCCTGCCCAAGTCTGTGGTTTGTAAAGCTTTAGATCAGTGCTGGGGGCTTGGTGTCTGGCTGGGACTGTATGTTCCTAACCGCAGAGCTTCGTTGAGATGCAAATAACCTCCCCCACCCCGCCCCTCCCAAGGAATAGCGATTTTATATTTGATTTCCTTTTTTTTTGTTTTTGTTTTTGTTTTTTTTCTTGTTTTGTTTCCCCCGCATAAACCCGAAAAATGTAGGTGTCTAGTCATATACAGGTCTTAGCAAGAAAGAAAGTTCGAGAAATTCAAGCCGCCATTAAGGTACGTCTGGCTTGCCCAGTTGTAGGGGGCTTTTCATCTCCATGGTTACAGGCTTTTCCTTTGTTTTCCTCCCTTCCCCTACCCTGCAGGTGTCTAGTCACATTCAGGTTCTTGCCAGAAGGAAATCTCGTGATTTTCATTCCAAGCTAAAGGTATGCGCTTTTCTGCTTTTTGGCTCGTGGTTGCTATGCACCTCACTTCCTGTTTTCCATGGTGACTGGTGAATGCCTGGTGCCGGGATTCTTGTAACCTAGCTTCCTAGCATGTGAGGGCTGTTTACATTTCTTTGTGTCTAATCTCTCTGTTTCTGTACTGGCCTCACATTAAACTCCCTGTGTGTGTGAGCGTGTGCGTGTTCCCAGTAACAACGCAATCGCAGCAGAGAGCTGGTCTTGATAGCTTCAGCGCAGAAACATGATTAAAAAAACAAAATAAAAATATTTTGATAACCGTCCTGGAGTGCCGGGCTAGCAGTCTATACCCAGAGAAACAGTTGAGGCATACTTTAAAAAAATCATCCAGAGTTGTTGTGAAATTACTTTATAGCACACACTTAGAAATGACTCCTTTTAGTTTTAAAAAAAAAATACAGTACTGGAGAGATAGTTCAGTGGTTAAGAGCACTGGCTGCTCCTCCAGAGAACATAGGTTCAATTCCCAGCATCCTGGTGGCAGCTCACAACACCATCCGCAACTCTAGTTCCAGGGTATCTGATGCCATTTTCTGGCCTTTGTTATCAACACACATACACATAAATAGCATACATAAAATAAATAATAGTAATCTCAAGAAACTGCATTTTCATATTTCTCTTTCAACACAAATATTCATCAGGTGTTTTCCACATTGTCTGACATGCTGTTTTTTTTTAAATAGGTTTTTTTTTAGTAGAGAAGTCTCAACCAGGCATGGTGACTTAGACCGGTGATCCGAGTACTAGGAGGCAGATGCAGGGAGGATTGCTGCAAATTCATAATGGGATACCATCTCAAACATACAGAAAAGGGGGACAGAGATATAAAGAGATCTACCGATATGGGTCTTGGAGATAACTAAATTCTCAAACTCGTGTGCAGGTTTATGTAGAGCTTTTTATATATGTGCCTCATTCATAAATAAAAATTTAAAAATTAAGGCACTGGTAATTTTTTAATTTCGAGTTTCTTTTCCTGCTCTGGAGTTTATAGTAAAGTGTGCCCGATTTTTATGTCTCTTCCATGCACTAATCCACAGTCTCTGGGAAGTCTTTAGTTCATAGTAAAAATTAATTTAGGATCATATTGTTGATATTCTCACCCCCTCCCAACTCACTCATTACTTTTGTGGTTTTATTCCACACCAAAACAGTATCATTTTATAGTGCTGAACACTGGGACCTCTTTCCCAAATCCATCAGCTTTGAAAATTCAAACCTGGCTGACTGGAGCAGAGCTAGGGTAGGAAGGAGCATAGGATGTGCGCTCTGCAGTGGGCAGCATGCTTGCTCGCTCGCACGTGTGGCTGATGGTGGCTGGCTTTGAGCTGCACTGGCTGAGCAGTTGGAAGGCTAAAGGAACTTTCTAGACCCTGCTTTTTAACCAAAGGTGCTATACTCTCTATGTGGATGTGCTTGCTCAAATTCTCACTCTGATTCTAGTTTCTCTAGGCTAATGAATTAATGATGTACAAAGAAGTTTATAGATACCAATTTTGTATTTCCATCTGTGATGTGACAAACTATTTCTCCACTATGTGTATGTTCCCTGTATGTTTACAGGGTGGGGGGTGAGGATGAGGGTGGTGGTAGGGGCTGGATGGAAACCTCAGAAGATGATAAAAAAACTGTCTTTCTCAGAAGGGATCCCCTTACAATGTGAGAAATCACTTGGAGGCTTTTCAACTCTCTTTAAATCAAATGTGTCATGGTATCATGCATACACCTATATTCAGGCAGACATAATTGTTTTTATATATTTGTTCCTAAACAATAAAAAAGAATGCTTTCTCCCCACTTTCAACCCTTCCTTGGGGGTAGGCATAAGAGGACATACTCACCATTTGACCCTGAGAAGTGCCGCTGCCTTCTTTTGACTTGTTTCATTCTTTTCTTCCACACTACTCTTGTAGAAATAGAGTCCTCATGGGGTAGTGGGTGTCATATGCCTTTAATCCCAGCACCAGGAGGCAGAGGCAGGCAGATCTCTGAATTCCAGAATAGCCAGTACTACACAGAGAAACCCTTTCTTGAAAAACAAAAACAAAACAAAAAGGAAGAAAGAAAAGAAAAAGAAATGGAGTCCTCTGTGTCTCTCTACATCAGCTAATTCCTACCAAATGTTCCAGGCTTGGCACTGATAGGTGGGTTCATGGTAGCTGATCTCCTGTCCTAGAACTAGCCATGTAAATGGGACTCTGAGATACAGGGCACTGTTGGCTGATAGCAGAAAGAGCCATGCTTTGATTTGGAGGGAGCATCATGACTATGTGTCTGAGGAATGCCCTTCAGTGTCTAGGATTTCAAGGACAGGTGTTTTATTCTGATGCAGAGCCTTCTGTGTTCTCTCATTGAAGCCACAAGTTAGCTGTACATTGTTCTTATCTCAAGAAAAAATATACAAGAAATTATGGTTCAATGATTCAAGTCCCTAATGGACTTGACAGAAGCTACCAAGACTCATAAAGAACCAAGAAGGGATTTAAACTCAACTCTTTCGGAATCTTAGACTAGCAGAAAGCTTCATGCTAGCATAGTATAGAGAAGTGGCCACCTCTCAGTCCTTGGAGCTGGACACACAGCCCTTCTACTAAGTGCCTGCTTAGTACCACGGAGCTAATATATGGAGATAATTTGGAGTAGACACTAGTGGTCACCAGTAACTTAGTGGATGGTGGTGCCTTTTCACCACTCTAAGGGCCTCAGGACAGTCAAGGAGGAAAGAAGGCTGGCTGTTGGTATATCTGTTTGCCAGTCATATATCCCATGAACATGTTAGTCTGATGTTGCTTCACTAGCCATCAGCAGAACATGGGTCTTGAAGGGAGGAGATGATCTCTGAGTCCTGTCTCAGCTCTCTTTGCTGGGCTCTGGTATCTAGCAGCACACTGGAAAGACACAGTGATGGGTATCTTCAGTGAGTTCACCACAGGGACGGGCTGATTGTCCTAGTTGAACTACCAAATTAACTGATGAGAGAAACTCACTACACAATTTGAAGTCATCTTGAAAATAGCACGAATAGTTCCTAGGTATGCAGTGGGGGTGGCAGGATATACATGAAATACTGTGTTTTCCTTGAGAAAGATGTAGGCCGCTTGTTGGAGAAGGTGGCAGATGACTTGGCTACCACTGGTCTATTCTCATTGGCAATGCTTTCTCCAGGCTACTCACCGTGTTTCCATATATACAGAAATCAAAGTGGGATGTGTGTTTGGAGTGGGTGGGTGAAGGGGGCATGTCTATACTTTCTGTGAGTACTAAAACCAGGGTCTCTTTCCCTTGTCTTCCCACAGAGCTGGCAAAAGTTGGCATTATATGACTGGGTCCCTGATGGGATACACTTCCCCATGAGCCTACTTGCTTTAAACGTGTGTGTGTGTGTGTGTGTGTGTGTGTGTGTGTGTGTGTGTGTGTGTGTGTGCGTGCGTGTGCGCGCGCGCGTCTGTCTGTCTGTCTGTGTGTGTGCGCGCGCGCGTCTGTCTGTCTGTCTGTGTGTGTGTGTGTGTCTGTCTGTCTGTCTGTGTGTCTGTGTCACATGCAGAGAAGTCAGAGAACAACTTTCCGGTGTCTGTTCTCTCTTTCTAGCATATGGGTCACCAGGTGGCATGCGCCACCAACGCCTGGCCTGAGCCATCTTTCTATCCCAAGTCTAATTGCTTCTCCTTTACCAGAACAGGGTATGAGAGAATTCTTTAGCGTACTGGTTTTCCAGCAGCCTTCTTGTTTACTGTGGTAACGCACCATGACAAAAGCAACTCTCAGGTCACACTCCATCACTCAGGAAACTCAAGCCAGGAACCAGGAGGCAAGAACTAAAGGAGAACCTTGGAGGAACACTGCTTACTGGCTTGTTCAGCCTGCTTTCTTATATAACCCAGGACCACCTGCCCAGGGGTGACCCTCCCACATACATCCATATCAACTATCAATCAAGAAAATGCCCCTAGAGTTGCTTACAAAGCAGTCTGATGGAGGCATTTTCTCAACTGAGGTTCCTCTTTCCTAATAACTCTAGCTTGAGGCAAGTTGACCGGGTACCTCTCCCTTCTTTTACAAGGGTCTTTCTGTATGTGTGTGGGGGGCGGCGGTTCTAGATGTGTTGACATTGGATGTTTTCCTCAATTTCTCTCTACCTTATATTGAGCCAGAGCTCAGTGACTAGCCTGCTGTAGCCATTAGCTTGCTCCAGGATCCCTTGGTTCTACCACCTGTGTGTTGGGATTAAGAAAAGGCTGTGTCCCCCCCCCCCGCCATTATGTTAGTGCTGGGGAATTCAGACTCCTGTCCTTACACTTCACTGGCAGGTGCTTTACCTACAGTCATATTCAGGTTACAGAAACTGTAACCTGAAACGTAAAACTGGATCTAATTGACACCCACCCACTCAGATCCTTAGCTCTACATTTTCCTTTGGTGTTACATGGAATATAGTTTGAGAAACCACCTCAGGCAGAAGGCCAAGGAGTCCTCTAGCCTCTGTGTGAGGGAGGGCTGTTATTTCATCCTTAGTGTCCCACTTGCAGTATGTGTTCCTGGCTTGTGTTTCTCTGAGCAAAAAAACATCGACTCACAGAGGTGACAGAACCTCTCTTATGGCATTCTCAATGAAAGTTCCAGCTGCAGTCAGCCTGAAAATGTTAGTATAAATTCTAAAGGTCAGCTGTTCTGTTATTGACTGGTTCTCAGAGTGGCTATAGGCTCCATCATCTTCCAGGTTGCAGATTCTTAAGTCCGTTTCCATCTTAGCACACAGGAAAAGGTTGTATTGAACTTTAAAAACAAGGGAGTGATGCCTCACTCAGTCCTCTGGGGTTTCTTCAAACCTGGTGCATCGTAGGCCTTGACTTCGTAGAGCTGGTAATCTGGGGAAACACTAAACTTTGTGCTAATGCCCTGGTCGGTTCCCATAGCCAGACATCTGCAGTAGACCTGAAACAGGGCCTGATCCAAGAGTG